TGGCTCAACCCCTGTTGACTCTAGACCTTAACTATGTCTCAACCAGCCTATCCATCTGCACCCTAAGGGGTGGTGAAGAGTCTTAAGTTTTTTTTTTTTTTTTTTTTTTTTTTTTTTTTTTTTTTTTTTACCAATTTTATGCGACTATCCGGCGCAATTTCGTGTGAAAAACTCACATTTCGAATACGCATAACGGAGAAACCTCAATATTTGTGAACGGTATTCGTCAGCACAAGATATGATCCCTCTACATGGTTGCTAACCTCTGGGTGCAAATGAGAGCAGAGAACACAGAAAAAACCATGAACCGGGATCCTATGTATCGCAAGGAGGGCCGCGCATTAGGCGTCGTCTTCGAAAATGTCACTGTTATTGGTGTTGCCGCTGGAGTTGATGGTATCATGACTCTTCCAGCCATGATCAACAAGATAGTTCAATGGCCCGTGACAGTCCTGACTCAAATGACTGGGAAAAGAAAAACGCCAACTACCCAGATCATTCGCGATGCTAACGGAGTGGTCTTCCCTGGCGAATCAATGCTAGTTCTGGGAAGACCTGGCGCCGGCTGCACAACCCTGCTCAAGACTTTGGCCAACAGTCACGGGTCATTTCTGGAAGTACAGGGTCAATTGGCATATGCTGGTCTTTCGGGCAAAGAGATGGCACATCGATATCGGTCCGAGGTAGTCTATGCAAATGAGGAAGACTTCCACTTCTCTACTCTGACAGTCAAGAACACTATGGAGTTTGCCCTCCGGCTGCGGAAGCCCGCAAACGAAACGCGCTCGGACTCGGACTTTGCCCGCGAAAATACCGATGCCTTTCTAGGTTCTGTTGGGCTATCACACACCGCCGACACGATTGTAGGAGACGCCTTTGTTCGAGGTGTTTCTGGAGGCGAGCGCAAACGTGTCACCTTAATTGAGGCTTTGTCGGCAAATCCCGCGGTAGCGGCATGGGACAATCCTACCCGTGGTTTAGACAGTTCGTCGGCTACGGAGTTTGTGCAATTTGTCACATCAACTGCTCGTGATACCGGAATGAGCAACATCGTGACTATGTACCAAGTGTCAGAGACCATCTACGATTGCTTTGACTGGGTTACTGTGCTTTACGATGGGCGGACCATCTTCTGCGGCAAGACAGACCGAGCTAAGGAATACTTCATTCGACTAGGCTTTGAATGCCGTGATCGCCAGACGACCCCAGATTTCCTGACCTCCGTCACTTCGCCAGCTGATCGCCTCATTCGAAAGGATGCTGCAGGCATCGTCCCGACCGATCCTGATCAACTGGCCGCAGCTTTCCGCAAGAGCCCCGAGTATCTGGAGCTTCGGAAGGAGATAGAAGCATATCATACCCAGGTTGGTAAGAACAGCCGGTTGATACAGGAATTCCGGGACAATGTACAGCAGATTCGCTCCCGCTGGGTACCCAAGCTCGCGATTGCACCTAATCCACTCCCGAAGCAGATTTGGATCACGATTTTCCGGTACTACCAGTTGTTATGGGGCGACAAGCGGACCTTTTTGACCATACTGGCATTTGTCGTCTTGAATGCTGTGATAAATGGGCCGGCGTACTATATGGCTCCGAAGGACGAGACAGGGTCTTATGAGAAGAGCAGTGCCTTGTTCTTTGCTCTTATATATTTCTATCTCAATGCTTTGACTGAGGTTGTCTCGACTGTCAAATCTCGGAGCATTCTTCTGAAGCAAGCTCAGTACGGCTTCCTTCATCCTAGTGCATTTGTGATTGCGCAAGCAATCGCAGACATACCTATTGCTTTCTTCCAGTGTCTCGTTTTCTCGTGCCTCTACTACTTCAGCATTGACCTGCAACGCACGGCATCCGCATTCTGGATATTTGTCCTCATTGTGTTCGCTCACTATACTGCTGTACAAAGTTTGTTCCGCATGTTGGGAGCTTGGGTTCCTAATATTTCGTTGGCCCTAATGATGGCAGGTAGTGCCATCCCCGTTGGTCTGCTTTACTCGGGGTTCGGACCTACCCGGCCAACACAGCATCGGTGGGGTTCGTGGCTACGTCGCGCATCGCCATCGCCCTATGCTCTTGAGGCACTGATGGGTAATGAGTTTACTGGCATCAATTTGACGTGCTCAGAAAGCGAAATGGTCCCGTACGGCTCTTCATATACCCAGCTCCAGTACCAGACTTGCAGTATAACGGGCAGTCTGAAGGCCCACGATTCCGTTGCCGGTTCGGTATATTTGGCAGATCACTTTGGCTACACCCGCGACCATCTATGGCGCAATTTCGGCATCATCGTGGTTCTCTGGTTCCTCTACACCGTATTGGGTAGCATTGGACTCACCGTCATGACCCGCGAATCTGGAGGATCACAGAGCCGTATCTTCAAGTTGTCCAAGCAACGTGATGAGGAGAGCTTGCCCAAGTCGGCCGCAAGCTCCTCGTCCGCTACGAAGACGGTCTGCGAAGATGCCCAACCTGACGGTATGAGAACCGAAGGTGCCCCGGGCAGCACTTTTACCTTTACCGATGTCAGCTACACTGTCGCACACGATGGTGAAGACAAGCAGTTGCTGGACAAAGTGAGTGGGTATGCCCGCCCCGGGCAGCTGACAGCCCTAATGGGTGCCTCGGGAGCTGGCAAGACTACCCTGCTGGACACGCTTGCGCAGCGCAAGAGAACCGGCAAGATTGAAGGAACTTTTCGACTTAATGGTGAAATGTTGGATGAGTCCTTCGAGCGCTCATGTGGATTTGTAATGCAGCAGGACATTCATGAACCGTTCGCCACCGTACGCGAGGCGTTGGAATTTTCGGCACACTTGCGCCAGCCCGCGCACATCTCAAACGAGGATAAGATGGCCTACGTCGAGCATATTATTCATCTTCTTGACCTCGAGAATATTGCAGAGGCATTGGTAGGCCAGCCGGGAGATGGACAGCTTAGCGTCGAAGAGCGTAAGCGTGTCACTATCGGAGTCGAACTTGCGGCACGGCCTAGTTCGCTCTTGTTCCTCGATGAGCCTACTTCCGGACTTGACAGCCAGGCCTCATTTGAGCTCGTGCTCTTCTTGCGTCGTATCGCAGCTGAAGGTATCCCTGTCGTGTGCACAATTCACCAGCCGTCCGGTGTGCTCTTTGATATGTTCGACCAAGTTCTGCTCCTCGCCCCAGGAGGCCGGACCGTCTACTTTGGCGAGACGGGTGAAAATTCCTCAAAAGTGGTCGATTATTTCGGGCGTCATGATGCTACAATTGGCAGCGACACTAACCCCGCTGAATTCATCCTCTCGACTGTCACGTCCAAGAACGAAGGCTCGCTGGACTGGCCGGCTATATGGCGTGCCTCCGCTGAAAACCAAGCCCTGGAAGCAACTATTACGCAGCTTAACTCCACCGTCGCCAGTAAGGAGACAAAGATCAACCCTTCGCAGCTTTACGCATCCTCCTCGCAGAACAAATACGCTCTATCCCTCTTGGCCCAGACCATCGCAGTCACCAAGCGCCACTGGATTTCTGTCTGGCGGGACGGGATGTACAACTTCAGCAAAATAGCCAAGTCCCTCTTCGTCTCCATGTTCATAGCCTTCAGTTTCTTCCACGCCGGATACACCCTCCAAGGTCTACAAAACCAGATGATCGCCCTGCTCCTACTCTCCTGGATTATCCCCACCACCTGCGCCGATCTCCAGGACCTCTGGTTCCGCAAATGGGCCATCTTCACAGCCCGAGAGCAGAACGGTATCTACGACTGGCGCGCACTTCTTACCGCGTTGATTGTTGTCGAAATACCGTGGCAGCTGTTCACCTATACATTGGTCTACCTAGCCACCTACTGGACCGTGGGCTATCCAAACGAAACCCCTATTGCCGGACTCTACTACTTCATGTGGATCCTCCTCGGTATTTTCGGAACCGGATACTCCCACCTCCTAGCTGCGCTCTTCCCATCCGCAACTCTAGGCGGGTACGCTAATTCCCTCTTCTGGGTCGTCCTTATGATTGTTTCTGGAGTCTTGACTCCCCATGCATACCTGAACGATTTTTACCGCCCCTGGCTGTTTTGGATCGATCCCATGCGCTACTTCTTCGGCGCTTCGCTCGGTTCGGTCCTTCACGGCGTTGCGGTTGAGTGTTCCTCGAGTGATCTCGTCGTATTTGATGCTCCTCCAGGCAGTACTTGTGGCCAGTATGCGGCGGCCTTCTTGGGGAGGAACCCAGGCTACATCGTTAATCCGAACGCGACGGCAGATTGCTCGTATTGTCCGTTTTCGGTCGGTGATGAGTATCTGGACACGTTGGATTATTCGTATGGGCAGCGCTGGTGGAATTGGGCGGTTTTTGTGGGCTTTTGCTGTACGAACTTTATGTTGGTTTATGTGGTGGTGTGGTTCACTAAGGGGAGGGGGCAGAGACGTGCTTGAGGGGTTAAGCGGGGAGATGGATTTGATATATGATAGAATTTAAAATGCGAAGGCGGATGCTGGAGTAGTTAGGGACTGTCATTCAATGATCTACAAATTGTCAAAACACTAATAGGTGGGATAAGAGAAATAGAAAGGTGTTTACGAGGAAAAATAGTGAAACATTAAAGATCAAGTCAGCTTAGACAAGCATTTCACCCGGACAATTTACAACTAAGGATCAACGAAGTCCTGGATTGAGAGATTTGATTCAGATGGTTTAATTGGTAGTATTACAAGTTCAGGCTGGTAGTAATGCACACCTCCTGCGCCGCGTGGGGCAATTGCAGCCTAGTGCTGCGAGGCGTTGAGCACAATTTCAGACGACAAGGGTCGGCGCGTTAGACTAGCTCTTGAGTTGCGGCTGGCTGGTCTGGGGCCCATTGACTGGTGCGTGGGGGATGTGCCAATATGATAGACTAGAATCTGATGGCGTGCTCCACCTGATCATATGTTATTGGGCAACTCGATTCAGGCCGGCTTAAATTGCGAAACCGAACCGGCCTATGGGGATAAAGACTGGTTTGAACGTAACTATTCACGGGAGTTATGGGGATTTCGAAGGGACCGTGAGATGCCAGGACATCGCTCCAGTGAGAGGAATATGAAGGGTCGGTGTCTAGTGTAGTATACTGGTATTCAGCCGCATACAAGGCAGCTTTATTAAGGCCCCTCTAGATTTTAAAAACAAGCCGAGTGAGCCTCGTAGCTATCTACATTGTAATCGCATCACTTCCCCTCATAGCGGGCCACCACATTATTCACAATCTCAGACACTTCCTTCGCCTTACTGAAATCAACCGAATGGCCCGCATCCAGCTCAAAAGCCTCAACCTCTGCCCCCTCCTTCTTCATCACATCCACCATCCACCTCTGGTAGTCAACAGGAACAGTCATATCCCTAATCGACAAGACACACGTCACAGGAATATCCCTCCAAGCAGCCCGCTCGGCAGTAATGGGCTGGTACATGCACTTGCCATTCCACCGCTGGAGGGTCCCCAGATACCATTCTACCTCTGACTCAGCCTCATCCGGACCAGGCGTAACAAGCAGACCCTTAGGATCGCGGTCCACGCATGTTCCATCCTCCGCGAAATCGAATGCCACGGGCATCAACGACGCGTGACCGAACTGGTCCACGATGTCAAACATGCTTCGCCCCTCGGTAACAGTGAAGGAAGAGAGTGAGACAATGTGAAGTACTCCACCAGATAGGCCTTGTTTGCTCCGGTTTGAGATTGCGAGGTCCGAAAGACTATTGGTAGCTACTTGGCCGCCGTAGGAATGGGAGATCACAATGACATTTTTGGCAGCGTTGGCGAGGTTCAATGCGTATTCGCGAAAAGCAGTTGTGTCGGTTTCTAGATCGGCTGTTGGGGGCCGCGCGCCGTTCATTGAGGGTAGCTCGGGGACGTGGACTTCGTGTCCGGATGACTTGAGAAGGTTGGTGAGCTTGTCATATGAGGTGGGAACGTGCCAGCCTCCTGAGATGAGGAGGATCACGGGCTTGGAGGCAGACATGACTGTTGTGTAGTAGCTAGAAGAATGGAAAGAGATGGGATTAGAAAGAGCAGAGGGGCTGAGAATTCGTGGGGGAATACTTATACTCGCGTTCATAAGAGTGGGGCAGAGTTTAGGAAGACGAGACAAAGAATGGTAAGGCAAGGCTGTGAGCTGTTAGTTCGACTCTATCGATACCCCATTCAATGCTACGCTTAGTGGTGAGCTAGTAGTAGCCTAGGTAAATTAGTGCTTACCATGGCTTGTTAGCCGTTCGAAGGTCGGGTAATTCCACGCATGGAGCCACAACTACTACGGAGAATGCCTATATTCAAAATAGTTAGATCTCTCTATATGCGGTGGATGAAATACAAGAGGTATCCTGGGTACGCCAATGATTGAAACGGACAGGCCATCATCAGCTGTGATTTGCCATCAGAGGTGGTGCCTTCGCCGGGGTTACAGATTTCAATGCCTTGGATAATATTTTCCCCTTAATTGTCTAAGTGGACTGCAATTCAAATCAAAATAAAGGTATTAATTATGGATACCGATGTTCCCCAATCGAAACAAGAGTGACAGGTGTAGTAGTAGTAGTAGTAGTAGTAGTAGTAGTAGTAGTAGTAGTAGTAGTAGTAGTAGTATATTCTATTGACCTAATGCAGCCGCCTATATGCGTGTAGCAGCTATGTAGGTGATGCTCCCTGCCTGGCATCAAAACTTCCTAGTTAACTCCATTGAAACATCCCTAAAGAATGGACAGATCCTTGTATAGAGTCTTTTAGAAGCCTCTATACAGGCAGATATTGGTTCCATATTGATATGCGTCTTCTTCTTCGGGCTGGACGGGTGTATAGGTCCCCAGGTCGCCAGGTCGTACGTATTTTTGGTTCTTACCAGTATGGGACCTGGTTATTACTAGTACTGACTATCGGAAAAACTAAGCTGTAAAAATACACTGTCTCACCAGGTGGTAAACCTGGCGAGCTTTTGTATTTACAGTATTTTTACTAATTTTTATTAAAAAAATCTAGTAATTTCTAATTTAAATTAAAAAATTGATTGAAATTACAACCTGGAGAACTTTGGTTATAAATTACTGTATAAGTATCGGAATTTATTAATTCCATAAATATATAAAATTATAAAATAAATCTTTTAATTACATCTAATTATTTCTAGTAGATATTAGTAAATCTATATATTATTAATATAATTTAAATAAATATATATATATATATATATATAAATTTA